CTTTGTTGGAAGTAATGCCTGATTGGTCAAGCTGAAGACTTCACATGTCTTTCATTTCTTTCTGGTTTTGCTTGAGGATACAAATTGGGTGTTGTGATGTGCCTTTCTCATCGTATCAGTACCTTCTTCCCCCGAATACAATACGACCAACGGTCATTATAGCTGTATTTAGACTGAAAGATACCCCAATACAGCTACAATGACCATACTGTGTATTCAGCGCAAGAAGGTAGTTTCAGAATCAAAATACATTCTGTAATGACCTTGTGTTCTTGCCCTTACCTCTCCCCCCATTATTCTCACTATCATAATATCATCATTGCTAATTTATTCATATTATTTACTTATTAATAATTTATTCTTAAATTACATTAATATTATTTTAATACATCTTGACAATTTGGCTGCCTGCAGCAGCTGCCGCCTTTGTACTTGTCCTTCTGAATAGCTGGGGCACCTGGCTCTTGCTGCTGCATGTACTTACAGTTAAGGACCTGCGGTGGCGGGCTGTTGCCACTGTCATGTAGCTGTATTTGAATTTTGAACGCAACTACACACCTGCTGCCCACTGGCGCTCGATGCAACTGGAGGCCCTCCCCCATTCTGGTTCTTCTGCCAGCCTGCCACCCTTGAGCCTTTTTGTCAGCCCTAACCCCCCCTTCCCACCCTCCCCCCCCTTCCCCCCCCTTTTGTTTTTCCCCACAAACAAAGGCTCCATCTATTCTGGGGGGAAGCAGTCCGGTTGCCTCAGCCACAGCCGCTTGCAACTTGCAAACCATGGGGTATGTGATCAGGACTCTTACTTTATTTTCTTGGTTTCTGTTTTGGGGGAGAAGGTGCGGGTGTGTTGGCGGTGCTGGTAGATGTGATCAGGAATCTTACTACTTCAAGTTTTTAATACAGACCACTGACTGCTGTTGTTAATGGTCTGGTTGCTATGTTCTTCTGCTTATTCTTGCAACGATTATTAATTTATTATATATGTAATGACCCGCCAAAAACACAGACTGAGAACACTGCTGATTTCCGGGATTTGCTGCTGGAATGAATGCCTTGCTGAAATTCCCGCATTCTGCTGTGATTTCCATGTCTGTGTGTGTGTGTGCGTGCCTGCTGGTTTGCATGCCTGTCTGAGTGCTTGTCGGTTGAGTGTGTGTGTGACCCGCAAGGGTACTTGTTGGTTGAAAGGCCCCGCAGGGCCGGTACTTACCTGTGGCCGTGACTGTGAAGGGTTGCAGGGGAGAAAACACTCGAGTAGCGGGGGTAGGCCCGCAGCACTTAGAGCAGAGGGGAAAAACACTCAAGTTGCAGGTAGGCCGGTACCACTGAAGTAGTGGTAGAAGTGTCGGGTACTGGAGGCCGAGCAGAAGAAGACAAAAAGTTGGCATTTTTAGAGGCCCAGTAG